ACGGAGATCATTGGCTTCCTCAATAATGTTCCCCTGGCCACACATAATGGTTCCTACGAAAACAGTCTGTGACCTGACTCTGTAAATCCTGTCTATACAGGTGTTTTTGACAAATAGTACGGCAATTAGTGTGTACAAAAAAAAGGGTTGCGTGCAATAGTTTTATTTTTATCTCAGAAAAGTGTCCCAACCATTTTGAAAACAAAGTGACGCACATGCGATGCAATTTATTTGAAGTATTTGGTCAAAAAGTATTTGGATATTTGATTTTCTCTGTAACTCCAAGGGATTGCCTTCATGTGGCTGAGGCTGACACTGATTTTTTATTTAAAACTACTTCATTCAGTGTTTCAACTTCTTTATTTAACTTATCAAATATATATTAAATATGTGATAGCCTAGATTGCACCAGTTGTTTAACAGTGAGTCACAGCTTCAGGCCTTTCTAATTAACAAATAGTAATTGCAAATAGTGATTTACTGCCTCATTTACTTAGGTAAATGTCAGAGCTCAAAGTGGCAAACTGTACAGTCTGGAAATAGTGGACACTAATGGCGCGTTTCCACTACACGGCCTCGCTCGACCTCGCTCGGTATGGCTAGGCCTCGTTAGGACTGGCTCCCTTTATGGCGCATTTCCATTACAGTTTAGGAACTGGGGTAGTATCTATAGTAACGCAGTGTAGGCGGAGCCGTGACGTCATCTTCAATGAGAACCTCAGAAAAACAACACAGCCGTTAGCTGTTAGCACTCAGAGCTCACAGCTCCTCATATATGTTCAGAAACTAGACAAAAGTTAAACAAGTACAAACCATAGACTGCCTGTGTCATGGCGAATACAGTCGCTGCTTTATTTATGTCTGTATAGGCCGTTGTTGTGAGTGTGGACGGTCGGAGCATATACTGCGTTAGCTTAGCCAATCTCCATTTAGAAAACACGCATTTTAAAAGGTTTTTCGCCTGCCGTCTGTCTGCAGACTTGTCAAAGCATTAATTCATGGTTTTTACTAACCGGTATCAGTATGTTGTTACTTCGGCATCATTTTGAAACGTGTATTACAATTAAATCACGGTCAAATATGTCCATCTTGTTGTAGTTGTAGCCCCCTTGCCAGCGATTCTCTCTCTAGTTTAGCATACTCAGCCCGACTCAGCCTCGTTGTCTCTGGCCCTAGACCCACGATTTTATGAGGCCAGAAAAACTGTGAATTAGGACCCGCCGGCCGGTACTAGGCCAAGTGGAAACGCAACCAAAAACGGGCCGCTGACGTCACAGCCCTCTTAAACCGTGCTCCGCGCTGTAGTGGAAATGCGCCAAAAGTGTTTTTTTAAAGATGGTATCATTAATGTTCACAGTTACTGTTTATGTGTTTTTGCTGTTAAATAACCTTTATTCATTTCTCTCTTCATACAGTGAAGGTTACATTGCATTCTAACAATGAGTGCATAGCTTTTTTTGCCTTCAGTGTTTATGGCCGGGTCACCACCCCGGAGACTGATGCTGGGTTATATAGTTAAGTGTTGCTCTGCTGGAGGTACTTGCCTGTAGCAATAAAAGGTCAACATCAATGATTAATGAGAGGGAAATGTCATAAGGGAGAGGGGTGAGCAGAAAGTGGTGTAAGATAATGTGGAAAGACTCCTTTATCCTAAAAATGTCGTCTTCTTTTTTTCTTGAACTTTACATTCATGCAAACCTTATATCTTTGATGTACATTTTGAATGTAGGTCCTTTTTGGCGTGAAAATCTTCATTATTTACACTCAATGTTCAGCACAGCTGGGTTGCTTTTAAATCAGACAGACGAATCGATTGCAGATCAGCTTGGGCACAGTTTCCTCTTGATGATTATCCCTTTAATTGTGAGACATTTAGGTCAATACATTGAAATTTGTTATGAGCTTCCCACAGAGGCGGGTCCACTGACAACTTCAGAGTTCAGACGAAAGCTCTTTACCTCTAATGAGAACCCATGGCAATTCTAATGGATGCCCTTATAAAATAATATTTAATGACCTGGTGTCAGCGGGAGACCATCCGCTGATGTCTGATACATCTCATTAAGTCCTGAATGTACAAGTGTGCGTCTGTATGTGTCATTGATTGAACCAATAACAGGAGCATTCCTGATTGAACTTCACCTAAAAAATGAACTGTTGTGCTTCTAATTCTTCTCTAATATCTTCACCCCAGGACAATGTTATCACACAGAGGCAACCTTTTTAGAATTGTCTTTATTGTAAACACTATTCATTCTGATGCACAATGATTAGCGACATAAAGCTCTCTCTCACAAAAAGAGTACAGAAAACAAACACTTTCTCCACATACAAAAATCTGCTTTTTCCAAAGAGTATACTCATACAATGATTGCACATGAGTGCAAAATACATTTACGGATGTTAACATGTACTTCCAATATACCATGATAAAGATGTTTTGCAGCATACCAGTCGTTAAACATTTTACTACTCCCACAGTGGGTTGTTCAGTTAATTCAAGAAACCTGTAATTTACAATGTTTAATATACCAAAGAGTATACTGAAATATATATATAAATATACTGTGTATTGAATTCACATTATCATCATTAACAGAAGCGTTATTTACAGCCACCAAAGTCATTTCACCCTAATTATTCTTCCATTATATATTATATACTTTTTTTAAATTCCAAACACAGAAGAAAGACAATATTAATATTTATCATATATACTGAAGATACTGCTCCACTTGTACTCCACTCTTGTATTGCACGTCTTACCTTTGAATAATTACATTAACACTGTTGACAGAATACAATGAATTGATAGTGCAGTGAGCAGCAGTACTTAAACTGAGATCTGTAGATGAAGAAGCTGCTGTCTGAGGACCATATCGGTGTTATTTTTCCCCCTCTTTGTTTTGGTTCTCCCACGGCACTGGATCATTTTCCTCCGCATTAGATCCAGTCTCCCTCATGTGCCAGAACTGCTCCAGATCAGGCAAGACGATCCCATCTTTGAGACTCTCTGTGTCTACTTCTCTCTCTCCTCCTTGCTCTGGCTGGGGCTCAGCCTCTCTGCTGGGACCCTGGCTGGAGGTTGATCGATTGTTCTTCTCCCCCCGCAGCTGGAACGAAGTCTCCGGTCTGGGGCGAGGAGACTGGAGACAAGTAGGGTTGTGAGGTCCGGGTTTGTTCTTGGTAGGACGATGTTTGCGCAGGGTGAGGCGCCTCCAGAGCCCCCTGTAGCCCTCTCTGAACTCCTCGGAGAGGGAGAGGACGATTAGAGGGTTCACCAGGGACAGGGAGAAGGTGAGCAGCTGAGCAGAAAGGGTCAGAAGAGGGGGAAGAGAGGAGACGAGAGGCTTAGCTCCTGCAATTTCCTTTTCTGCTATATGACGCTCCCAAACCCACTCCACCCACTGTGGAAGCCAGAGAATAGCCATGGCCATGGTCAGGCTGAACAGCATCAAGGTAAGCTTCCTGGACCTTATCTGTGTGCGCAGGTTCTGAGACTTACTGGAGCGCCGCTGGCACTGGCTGTAAGCCCTCCAGAAATACATCAGGGCAAAGCTGAGGGGTGCACAGTAGACTCCCAGGGGGTAAGCTTTGACGTACACAGCCATGAAGTCCCGGGCTTCAGGAGGAACCACCATCACACACACCAGTCCACGAGCTTCTCTCTGGAGCGTGGCAAACAGCCAGTGAGGGATGGTGACGGAGCAAGCGGACAGCCAGATGAAGAAGAACACCACCAGGATGGAGCCCAGGTGGATGCTCACCTGCTTGTTGGGGTTGGAGACGTAGCGGTAGCAGGCTTTGGCCATGATGGCAACCGTGAAGCTCTTGGCTGCCATGCAGGACTGGAGGAACCAGTCGGCCGTCTTGCAGACAACCCAGCCCAGAGTCCAGGAGGCTTTGGAGTAGACCGCAGCCCTGAAAGGCACCGCGAACAGCAGCACCAGCCCGTCGGCAAACATCAAGTTGAAGACCAGGGAGTTGATGAGAGATAGTTTGCCCCTGTGAGCGCTGGAGAACAAGATGACCATCGCAGTGAGGTTACAAGCCGCACCCAAGAAACAGATGACTCCTAGAATGGCCGGCATCAGGACCCTCAGCTCCCCGGGGTCCAGGTGTGGGTACAAGCCACGCTCATTGAAGGACCACTTGTCTATAGAGCTGTTCACAAGTGTTGCATTGTTCCCACTCAACTTATCCATCTTTCCCAAAAAGATGGGGAGATGATGTAAGAAGAAACACTAGGAAAAGTTCAAGCCTGCCAGGAGAAGAAGAAAAAAGGTTCTGGGAAGAAGGAGAAAATGCTAAAAAGAATGATTTAATATGTTAAGCAATGGTACCACTCTAAATCTAAACCTGATTGAATAACTGCATCAGAGAGAACTATCGATTGCCGATCAATAATCACAGTGGAGCTCCTGTCTGTCCCAGGGTTTATCCTGAGACGCAATGATGCAGCTTCTGCCGCTGGTTATAAAGATGCAGTTTGATTGACAGCTGCTGTCCCCAGCTGACGAAATGTGCGTCGACTACTGCCTCACGGGGCCAATTAGAAAAACTCTGCATAATGTGCACAGTAGGACACAGGAATGTATGGGATAGCTAATTTACAGTTTTCTTATACTAATGCTTGACTGCTGATGTTTTTGATATAGCCCAATGGCCTTTAAAAATGTGTTCATGGTCTATAACATCTGAAGCATCCACCAGCAATCTAGATGGATTCGGTCAATTGTGTATGTTACATGTTGGATTTCTGCTCCTATAATGGTAAATGACATAATATGAATAATCTAAACATTTAAGAAAATTGTCAATTTGGCTCTTGATTTGAAATGAACCACCGACTGTGTCCAGTGGAGGAAAATCATGTTTCATCCAGACTGCTTTTATATGTCTAACTCCATCCACACGAGGGCCCTCTTGCACCACAAGCAGCAATGAATCATTTGAAGTACATTCAGCATTATAAACAGAGGAGGTCCAGGGCTTTCATCTTGCACATCTTCATTCTTTTTTTTATTCAAAGAAAGTCCATTAAGCATAAAGACTGCATGGTAATTAATTGCATTTCATTACATTCTGAGCTATAAAAGTTTTTTCAATTAGAAGTGTCACAAAGGAGGTTGTTTAGAAGACATTACTGTTTAAAGGAATCACACTTAATAATTCCCTGATTTCACAGAGTTCATTTAGACCTTTGACTGCTTTTCTTTATGGGAGTTGGCTCTTAAAAACTAATCTGAGACAAATGAAGATCTCCCGACTGATCAGAGCTTAGTGCTGAAAAACAAACCTGCTACTGTTCCACGTTACCAATCTTTAACAAGAGGAGGAACGTGGACAGACAAATATTTTACTTGCATTGTGCTTCAGATGATCTGTAGATGTTCAAAATATCTATGTGCAGGCTGTCGGGTCCATCAGATTAAGATCCAACGCATGCAAAAAGAGCTACGCTAGCATTATGTTACCCAATGAACTTTAATAAATCATCATAAAAAATGGACAGTTCTACAATCCACAGATCATTTTCAGTACAATCCAAATAAGTTAAAAACGGGGCGAGGTGGTTTTTTTCAAACAGGGCATTTGCAAAACAATTATTTGTTGTGTCTTTGTCATGTCTTTTGCAAACGGCTGACATCAGACTGACTGCAATGTGATAAGAGCAACAATAACTTTGTACATATCACAGCGTCCTCCCCTGAAGAACAAGCATGTAGCCGGTGCTATGATGTCATCGCTTCTAGCTCTTTTTTCCATTTGGAAAACTCCGAAGAGCTATTTTGTTTTGTTCTTGATGGAGAAAGACAGAAATAAAAATCCTAAATTAACATTTCATTTGAAACATTCACACTCCTGCCTTGTACTCAATCCCCACCACCCTCCCGCCCCTACTACATCAACCCCCCCACATACCAAAAGAAGGCACCACAGCTTCTAAACAGACTCATTGACCGAGCGAAGGACTCAATAAAACAACAGCATTAAATAAAACCATTGACACACCCTGGAAGGGCTTCATTCACATTACAGACTACAGCAGTCTCACCAGGGAGACACAGAATTGGTACTAGAAGGACTGACCATGTTGTGTCCAAAGCAGAGAGAACTCTCGGTATCTGGGGTCAGAGATTTACAACCTCGCTCTCTTTTGTAAGAATTGTGCAGCAGGTTGCACTGTCCGCCACAGTTAGAGGCCGCAGGGTTGTTCACATGCACTGCAGCATGAGCAGAATGAAAGAGAGGGGGCACTGTTGCTACATGACAATGAGCCACCATCATGTAAGCTAGGTTTCTGTCTGTGTGCTCTTCTTAAAGTTCAGTGTAACCCCTTCCTCCAGGGTTCCTCCGGAGGGCTGCTACATCACGTAATTCATGCAGCAATCCTCTTGTTGCACGGGATTCACTTCTCCAGGTGTCCGCATGGCTAAATAAATTAAATAAGAAGTCCATTTGAAGAATGAAAGTCCATTCTCAAATTCGACAAATCTTTTTTTTTTTTCTAACGCTGTATCCAGATTGTATCAAATTCCCAAAATAAAACAGCGTCCATATTTCAGTCCCTGGATACTGATCGCTGCACATCTTCAGCAAAATTCAAGACTGGCAGCAACAAGTCATAGGGAGAAGAGGGGAAGGATGCAGATTAGGGCTCCATCTTTCTCTTCCTCCAACCCTAGCTCTCCCTGCAGCCCCCTCATGTGAAGGGGTGAGGGGTCAGCAGAGGCAGATCGCCCCTTTAGTTGACCTTGTCTTGGAAGATGTACAGGTTGTTGGTGGCCGCTACAGCGATGATGTTCTCATGGGGGTGCCACGTAGTGTGGAGGATCTTCTTGCTGAAGTCAAGGCTGTCTACACTGATCTCATCCTTACGCCGCTTCCCACCCACACACACCTGGAGGACAACAGTAGAGATGAAGAGGCGTTAATATTCGATTGTGCATACATTAACATATTTCAGTGATGTTAAAGCTGCATTGTTAATATCACCTTATAGAGTAGATATAGTTATTTCATTAGCAGTTGTCTATTTGCACACCCTGGAGACATGTAGCAAAATAACCATTCATTTAGAGTCATGTGTCCAACCCAAAATGAACCACCATATTAACTTTTAGCTCTGTTATAGTCTCTAACCCCTGATGCTAAATGTTTTGTCTTTAGATGCTAAATTCTACACCAAGTTATTTAGCTATAGTTGCTAACTTTGTCTGTATGCTGTTTTTTGCTAGCAGAAACTACGTATATACAACACATATGGTAATCGTCATGAATCACAACACAATCACGACACTTTCTCCACTGTCTTCTACTTTAAAAAAAAGTTTTCCAGCTGCCTCTGGATATCAGTTAACCTGTATTCATGATTTGTGCTTTACCTTGCGAGGCTTGAGAATGGCTCTGGGTTTGCTGTTCTCCCTGGACGCCTCCAGTGTGACGTCACGTTTAGTGTTCCGGTCGAACATTCGGAAGAAGTTGTTGTAGGAGCCGGTCATAATGACACTGAAGAGGAGAAGAGAGATTGTGCATTTATTATTGAGATAAACTAATGGATGGATGGATGGATGGATAAGAAGTGAATCGTACCTGTCTGATCCATTCCAGACGCACTCAAACTTGTCGAAGATGCAGTCATTCTCATACAGAGAGCAAAGTTTGCCACGTAAGTAGTCGTGAACCTGAAAAATAAAAATAAAAACATGAACATCTGAAGATCTTAGATCCACCAACGACCTAAGTTCCTCACATCGCCATAAACGGCTCTACCATATGCTCTACTTTCAATAATCCCTTTCAGACCTGGTGACCCTTGCTAAGACCCTAGCTAGCAGGTGGAGGCGCTGCTGGAATTGAATGGGGAATCCCTTGAGCCCGGCTGATGGCGTTATCAATCATGACCTGCCCTAAGATGGCTTCCCATGATCAGACAGTGTGGATCTGACCCCAGTGACCACACAGTGGGAGGTTATGCCCTTCAGGTTGCATCAGCAGCGGCACTATCTGTCTTTTTACCGACAGTCAGCTCAATAAGCCCGCCTGGGGTAATCGCTGAAGATGACAGTTACAGATTGGCAGGGGGACAGTGAAACAGGATTATGTTGAGCGATTAGTCTGAAATCAATACGTTTTGATTTGATCTTGACATTATTTAGGATTTTTCTCGCCGCCTTCGAACTAACAGGCTCATAAAAGCAAGATGAAAGCTTACCTGGTACGTCTCTAGTGGTTTGTTCTCCATTTGAAGGTCCCACACTTTGACAGTGAGGTAGTCCCTTGTCATCAGGTAGCGGCCGTTATGGCTGAACTTCACGTCAGAAATGGACGAGATGATTTCAGAGAAAAAGGAGCGAGTGGAGGGATCCTCAGGCTCCTCAAAGTCTTGGAGAGAAAAACAAAAAGCAGTTATCTTCTGACGGAGAAAAACACATTTTACACCATGGGAGGTCGCTGCCTAAAAAGGATGTTCTTCCTCCTGCAGGTCTTTTAATCATTCGCATTGAGAGAAAAAAAACAAGGCAGATTTAGTTTGGGTGGTGGGGGCCGTCATTAGCAAACGATAACAGCCACAACAATGCTTTGGTGCGGGGTTTGCCGCAGCAGCTGCATCTCTTCATGGTATTATTTCTGTGTGTGTTTAGGGAGAGAGTGGTGGGTCAGCATGCTGGGTAAATATTGGTTATGATTCATATTGATTCTGGCAGCTGCTGATCTGTGTGCAGGCCAACACGCTGGGGATAAGAGCCAGGCATTCCATCGTTAGCTGTCAAGTTATTGTTCCTCCTCCTCCTTTCCTCCCACCCTTCCTCCCCTCTCTACTCTCCATCTCTCCAAAAAATGCCCCCTCTCCTCCTCCTCAGCTGAGGCCCGGAGAATAGCTCTGTGATGTGTCAATGGGGAGTCTAACAAGGGATGCGGCACGAGAGATGAAAAATGGGGGGGATGAGGAAGGGATAAGGAAAACAAATCAATGTCAAAGTGCTGGGCCCATTTTGGCCCCACTGGATTTGTGTGTGTGTCAGTGAAGGAGCTTAGGGTGTGTGCAATATGTGCATGTATATATGCATGTATATGTGCGTCCCTGCCCTTCCTCCCTTTCCCACTGCAGGGGTGTATAATAGGGTCCCTGGGGAGTGGGCATGGGGGCTGCTGGGTCTCCCTCTCTGTGTCCTGGGGCTCTGCGCTTTGGCAATCCTCCCCTATACATCTAACCATCCTCAATCTGACAGACACCAGCAGCAGGTATGGGAGGGGATACAGTATGATTGTGTTTTTTTATGTACAAGGTTAAGGAAGTATTGTGCATGTGAGTGTGTGTCAAGGGACAGAATGTGTGTGTGTGCATGCGTGGGAGGGAAATATCGCTCCGAGCCATACACTGTTCATGCAGGGAGACAGTATGACCTGTCCCAAGGCTAAAGAGAGCACCTGCCTGCTCTGTGAGTGTGTGTGTGTGTGTGAGCAATGCGTCTGTCAAGTGATCACACGTATATTTCAATATGAAACAGCACTAAATGCCACAACTTAAAATGTACACTTAAATGCAAACCTTTTGGGCATATATTATACCTATTCCGCCCCAAAATAAATGATCATGTTGAATTCTACAGGCCATGTTAGCGCATGAATGAACACATCAATATGTCTGAGGAAATGACTGGCATTATCGAACAACAAGGTGTGTCCATGAGGGACTAATGCGATTGCTCTTAAGCTATTGATTTTGCATCGAAAATGTCAATGTATTCATTATTCATTTGGCCCACGCGAATGCATGAGATGTTAGGCTTTAGAGAAGGCCGTTCATTGTTTGAAACACACAATGAGAATTATTGATGGGTTATCAACCCCTTCATATGAAGCAGAGGGAACACCACACAAAGGCAGAGCTGAAGCGAATACATTCAATGTGAATTTGTGAAAATGGTCTCTTGGTTTCCCACCTCTGTCTTTTGTGTTTTGATCATGTATTTAAAAACAACACACGTTCTTTTTCTGACCTTCCATTCTGCTTGAAGCTATAACATATTAATAATAATAAACACCATTTTCTTTGTGATATTGAGGTCCATTTCTTGTGTCGTTTATATGAATTTAAAGATTGTGATATCCAAGAAAAGGAAAATGACATTCTACAATAAACCTCAAATTACACAAACTGGGTTCCTAATGTCTTTAGACTGAATAATGACATTTGACTGTTTAAAGGGGGAAAGTCAGTTATAGTCATTAAAGGGAGTCATTGATTCAGTTTAATTCAATACAATACGACCAGTTATTCAAGCAAGGGGAATTGTATGCAGAAGGAGGAATAAAGAAATGATAAAGAACAAATAAAAGAATCACCCAATGCCTCTCGTTTTACGGCCTTCTTTTGGTGGCTAATGAGGCACCATGGAACATAAACAATGCATGATGCTTGGCATAAAAACTGGAATATTTTCACTTGAAAGAAAATCTATAAAGAGATGAGTTGGCTCTTTGTCGTTACCCTGCTTGTACTCACATTTGCAATGTTTGTCACAGAGCGCGGCCTCTCTCATGTCACAGAGGCGTATCGAGCCCTTGCTGCTGCTGTAGGCGAAGGTGTGACACTGCTGGGGATGAAACTCTGCAGAGGTGATCACCTCCGTCAGCTCCTCCATGTTGGCTGGCTTTATGTCAACAATGTCTGAGAGACAGGCGTTAAGGAACAACTAAAACATTCAGACAGCTTCCTCTAGCATTCAGACAAGACTGTGAAGGCTACACTCTGACTAATGCTATACTGTTTTGAATTCAAGCCCTGAAAAAATGACACATTTCCTGTACCAACAGAGTGAAATAACAGGGTCACCCCTTTTTTCTCCCACATTTTAGTCCCTAAGAAGACGTGAAGAAGAGGATACTGAAGCTGCGGTCGGTGATCTCCAGGTTCCACAGGTTCACCCTGAGGTCGTCGGTGGAGATGTACGTCTGATAGTCGGAGTTGACAGAGATGGAGTTGATGTGGTACATGTGAGCGTTGCTGAATACTCGCCTGGCCGTAGCTTCCACCATCAAGTCCATGGGCTGCAGCACCGGCACCTATGGGTGAAGACAGGTCAGTTTAAAACTGGAAAACTGGAAAAAATGACAGAAATTACTCGGAAATCTGTGATTGGTTTCATTCCTCAAAGCTGTTTTAGATAGGTATATATGGGGGGATGTAGATGCACTTGGTTGCTTGTGTGTGTGTGTGTGTGTGTGTGTGTGTGTGTGTGTGTGTGTGTGTGTGTGTGTGTGTGTGTGTGTGTGTGTGTGTGTGTGTGTGTGTGTGTGTGTGTGTGTGTGTGTGTGTGTGTGTACGATCCATAACTAGATGACTCCAGGGATTCATATGACATTTACTCCACAAATCTTAATGAAACAGAGACAGTGACTGAGGGGCTCAGGGGCTGTTTGATATCAGCTTTCTACACGGCTACTCTGAGATTACTCACGCACCCCCCCTCCCCCCCCTCCTCCTCTCCTCTCTCATGTTAGTGATGAAGAAATCACTTCTGTGTTGCTGTTTGTGCGTGAGGAAAGGCGAAAAAAGAGGGAAAGCGAAAGAGGTAAAAAGAGAGATGGCCCGAGGGCATCGCTAGACCCTGCTGAGGAATGATAACTGAACTCTGCAGAATTAAGACGAGATACACACACACACACACACACACACACACACACACACACACACACACACACACACACACACACACACACACACACACACACACACACACACACACACACACACACACACACACACACACACACACACACACACACACACACATACGCAGTGCTGCTCGGTCTTCAAAGACAGCCAGCACCGGTCTGCATGCAGCCCCCCGTTGGCCAGATAAAACCCAGACAAAGAGAGTAGGGAGGGGAGCAAGAGAGGAGAACAAATCGACTGCTTCTTCCCTTTTCCTCCCGTCTGTTTCTGGCACTGACAGAGAGACATGGCAGCCCAGCAGGCCGCTGTATCTCCATGGGTGTCACTTCATTTCCATGTCTTTCACCGGCCGTCCAGAGAGACACAGACCGTATTAACCCATAACCCCCAACACTGACAGTTACACGCTTCAGCTTGCTCTCGCACCTTCATAATGACCAAATACATTCTCTTCCTTATAGTATATAAAACAGAAGAATTAAAAATAAGATAATTCTGCTTTAAAAAGGCACAAATACTCTTAGAAGTCTATTTACAACATCATTTTTAGTCAGTTTCCTAGTTTAAAGCAGTTAAAATGTGTTTTACAAATACGGAAGCATAGACTTTGCATGATACAATAAAGAGCATTTATCCTCAGAATTAAGGCTACATTTCGGAATGATTTTTGGAAATTCATCATTTCCCCCACTTCTTTCTACCCCCCCCCCCCCCCCCCCCCCCAATGAGCAGATTTCACACCCTCTAAACAGGATTGCCACAGGCCCCGGCCTGTCCTCCAGGTTGCTATGATCCCCTGGCCAGCCAGACAAAGAAGGACAGACACGCTGAACACAGCACTAATCTACTATGGCAGACACACACACACACACACATTTCACGTACACGCACACTGTCCTATGTGCCTGCCTGCTTTGTGACGAAATGAAAGAGGTAGTGGAGTGATAAGAATGAGAGGGAGAGTGGAGTGAGGTGGAGACAGAGAGGATGATCCCTTCACGGTTTTCACCTCAGTGCTCATATCGATCACTCATTCTCACTTTCTACTACCACTCCAAGTTTAAAAAGGTCCAACGATTGTGTTTGCTGGTGGTATAAATCAGCCGAACGCTATCATGCTTTACTGGAAAAACTGTGTCAACTTTGACGAATAAAGTACAGACATAGTATGCATTTCTATCAAGTAGCATTAAAGGCTATCATAGCATAATGAGTGAAGGTTACGTTATCAGTTATTCTGTGCTGTACACATTCAGACTTTAGACGTGCAAACTGAGGATAGACTTTGGTCAGAGACAACATTTAAGCAGAAACAGACAGTTGTTTTGGAAACGGCTAGCCTGGCTTTCTCCAAATGTAACACCCCTACCAGCTCCTCCGTGGTTCACTAATTAGTACATTACATGCAAGTTGTCTTTCAAGCCTGTCACATGTTTATTTGTGAGCTTCAAAGGAGCTGTTAGGTTGAAGTTGTTACATTTATTGTAACAACAACCTAACCTAACCTAACCTTGGCTCTAGCTTTGTACTTAACTAAATTACTGTATAAACATTAAAGAGGTAACAATTTCTCATCAAGAAGGCATACAAGCACATTTTCCCAATGTTAAAAATCACCATATGATTGGTTTTGAGGATAGTACAATTACAAAGGTATGGCCTTGCTACATGTAGAAGACAAAAGATAGGTTAGATAATAATAAAATATTGTGGTGCAATATGATACGTTTATTTTCCTCTGCTTAGTAATATTCTTAAATTAAGCGTGTTGTCTGATCTGAGGTCGAAGTTGATATTGTGGTGCATTTTGGGGATTTAAATGGTCAACTTGCATTAGGTATTCAGAAAGTTGGCATATTTACTTAAAGGAAATGTAAATGCAGTCGTATGAGACTGTAGCTCGAAATGTTTTGTTTGGAATTCTCTGGAATTGTCCCTGTCTTAAGATCATATTTGACTCTGAGCCAAATTGAAAGTTTTACACACCAGCAAGACAAGACCCAGGGCTGTTAACCTGACTCCATGTGACATTCAGGTGTTTGGGGTGATAGTTTCCTGTGACACTCTTACCCGTAGCGAGGTGATGGTCGACGGGTCTCTGATCCGACCGTCGTCATCCTTCAGGTTGTAGCCCTCCGGACGCTTGTCTCTCTCGCTGATCTTCCACAGCTTCACCGTCTTGTCTGGGATGGATACATCACACAAACACCAACAGGGAGACACACAGAAACACAAAATACAGTCATATCACAGCTCACTACAGTGAATCTCAAATACAAGATGGATGCGGGGGGTGGGGCGTCCAATCTGGCGTGTAGCTGGGCAGCAGCCAGCGGGAATGATGAATTGCTCCTCCTGTTTACATTTTGATGTCACAGATATCAATCTACATGTGGACTACATTTCCCTTCAGCAGTGTACACTCCCCATGAAAAAGCCATCTGGGCACTTTTCATTTCAGTCTCACACAGACACCAGTTACATCCCATCTTCTCGGCTAGTGAGGGGGATGGTGGCAGCAGTCAGGTTGTTGCCACTTCTTTTTTTAATTTCCGCTGTGAGTATTGGTGTCGGAGCAGCGAGGCCATCGCCACAGGATCCTCCACCATCTGCTCCAGCCACCTCTAGCGCTTCTGTAGCAGCCATGCATGAAGCCCACAATCTGCAAGACGTCTCTCTGCTGATGTGTGTGAGCTAGCGTGCATGTATGGTGGAACATGCTTTGATATGTGTGTATGTGTGTGTGTGTGGGTGTGTTCCTGGTGTGGCAGCCATGCATGAAGTTCTCAATCTGAAACGCTTCTGCTGGTGGCACTTGCTCAGCCAAGCGGAAAACCAATACATTCGCACAGACAGTCAAAAAGACATTTTGATGTGATATTAATAACGTCTCCTCATAAATCAAGTGTATATCTGACCATTCAGCAGAGTGAGGAATGAATCATGGCTTTACTCGACACCATTATTGAGTAACAATAACACTCTGGCCACATTTAAACACACTCTCATCATGACTGATGAATGGTCTATTTAACCACTTTGCCATGCTGCTACAGTAGAGGGGCCGCCTCAGCTAACTGACTGACCGTTGGTGGAGAGCAGGAAGTAGGCGGCGTTCTGCTGTGGAAGCCATTTGATCTTGTTGATCTTCTCCTCAATCTCCAAGCTCTTCAGGTAGTCAAACTCCGGCTCGTGGCTCTGGAATGTGCTGTAAACATTGTACTCCCCTCGACGCTGGGGCTGGCTCTTACTCTGCAAGAAGAGAAACATAGTGAGAGGACGGTTCATTGGCTGTTAACTGCAGATGATTCAATATTGATATTGGTGTAAATGTTCATTGTATTCCATTAAATCTCCCCTAAAGTATCTTCAATGTGAGATGTTCTATTTTTAGCCATGCTAGTGGCTGTAAATTGGTCCTATGACTTCTCATCTTGAGCCATTATTTGGTCATATTTGGCTAATGATTACTTGTTTATGATCACATGACCTGCACAACTGATGACCTTTTTCTTAGCCTCTGTTTCAATTTGTGTTTAGTTTTAACTAGCACATTTTGGCATTGTCAACATTGTACATGCTAACCATCAGCCTGTTAGCTGTTAGCATTGTTTTACTATTAGTTATTTGTTTTAGCACTCCATAGCAGCTACACTGTGGATTACATCAGTCTATTTCAATATCTATATTTGTATGGCTTCTCCTTGACATGAAACTTGTAGAGGTACTTTGCACCATCTGCTATTTCTTTGTAATTCAGAATAAATGTAGTCGATATCATTGGTGACCTTGGCATCTTACCTCTGAATCAGAATTAATCTTAGTGGTTTTAAAAAATGTTTCTCCATTTAACATAAGTTTATAATAATGGCCCCACCTAAGCTTCTTAGCGATCACAGCCATTTTTGTTGTTCATGGTTTTAAGATATTCTGAACTTTCCAGCTAGCAATATTTTTTCAAATACACCTTTTTTTCCCCAGCTAGTTATTTAAAAGCTAACAATACAAGTTTAATATTCCAATGCTGTCAAATCCTCTCAGCGGAAGGGCGGGATAATTAGTGTTGCATTGTTGGCATTTCCTACCTCCTGCTCCCTCTGGAAGACAACCACTCTGCCTCCTTTATCCCCGGTGGCCAACAGCTCCCCCGATGAGTTAAACTCAACCGTTGAGATAATGTCAGCTGCAACACAGGAAGCAAAGCAGAGAGGGGGAGAAAATGTCAGTATGGACGGCATGCACAAAGCTGTCAAGGTATCAGTCGGACAGAAACAAAGAGCTTTCAGATAGATCTGGTAGAGTGACTTCTAGAAAAAAGGGAAATCTCTTGACAAACCCACAGAGGACTCTTCGGCACAGATACCCTGGTTTGGTGAAATATGGGTTAGGAGAAGCCATTGATTGAGTCACTGCATGATATCAACTAATTCAGCCCCTTGTCTGACTGAAGTGAGCCAATCTGTGTCATTTAATTGTACTCCTGCTTTTTTTAAGGGCACTAATAACGCCATTCACTCTCTCCTCCCGGTTGCAAGACCCCGTGCTGCTCAGGGACTCTCCTGCTCCTTCATTAAAAAACCTCAGTCATACACCTTTAAAACATGACCTTTTAGCACTTAATATATGTCCATGCATGTGTAGCACACTGTTTTAATGTTCAATCTATGCAGTGCATCAACAGGGTGACAAAAACACACAAGAGCAGTAAGATACATTTGCTTCATCGCCAACATCTCTCAGTGTCTCTTTGCATAGCTACAGTTCCAACACAAGTAAATAACAGACACCTACCCTTAAGGTAGCTCTCATATATCTGCCTTGATTTCGGAGAGGCTAATGGTGACTGTAATTATTATACAGCCCTGGGCTAAAAAGTAATATGCATAATATGTCTGTCACACACACACACAAAGACACACACCACAGCAGAGGCTAGTCCTCTGTTTAACAGTGACAATAATATTAGACAGAAAGAGAAAGAGAAAGAGAAGCTTGTTGTTTTGTGCCCCCCCCCCCCCCCTACGCCCTCTGTGGACCTGCTACTGGCGGAGCGCTGAACAGGAGAGGCGAACGTTGCTATGGAGACCGTTTCCATCTCTAGCGGCAGTCGGAGGGGTGTGTGTGTGTGTGTGTGTGTGTGTGTGTGTGTGTGTGTGTGTGTGTGTGTGTGTGTGTGTGTGTGTGTGTGTGTGTGTGTGTGTGTGCCAATAGCTCTCATACTTAGTTGCTGATGCTAGCTGTAATTCAGCAGACAGAGAGAGTGCTGCAATAGAGTGAAAAGCTGCTACTGCATCTGGGGGAGTGAGTGCCGTTTCAATGCAGCACACAACTTCAGACAATGGAGTCCCTGTAGACGGGCTCATCCCTGCACATAGAGCTGCTGTGCATTGTGGGAATGACTAAGCGCCATGTCTTCCACTGCATGTGTGCGTGTCCTCCTCTGGTTTCATTTAATTGTTGACGACACCGGAGGGATTCTTATGCCCATGTGTTGATAATGACATGAGGTGGGGGCACCGATCCTAATCATATTCGAATCAGAAAACTAATTAACGTTTCGCAGACAAGACCCACTCTGACCTAATTACAGCCTGGGAGTACCCCACCGACACGAAATATCGTCGAAGCATAGACCCTCGCAAGTGCAAAAAAACAGCCCTGTTTCTGAATCTGCATGCACAGAGATGTGAATTGCAACCCCCCAGCACTCACACACTCACACACTCCCACACACACAACTGTGTATTCCCAAACACCATCAGGCCAAGGCCGCCGGTGTGAATCGAATTGAATCGGCTTAGCAGTCAGCATTCTTGAATCAAAGCTTTTCTCTCTCCCTGGTTTTGTCCTCCCTGTACTTTTTCCACTCTTTCTCCTCTCTTCTCCCCTCATCATTAACCCATTAAGTCACTGAGGAGTAACAGTAATTGATGGGTGCCATTTTAACGAGTTTACACACGGATACATCCTTCAATCATCTCACTGAATGGAGAACCGTGGCGAGGCAGTGAAGCGGAAACTCCGAGTAACGTGATGGAATGCTTCCCGAAATGAGTTTTTCCTCATGCAAATGAATTCAAACACGAAACAACTGCAATTTATTCAACCTCAGCTACTGATGAAACCGTGTTACAACGGCAACATACAGTGTGTTCAAACAAACTTTCATTACAGAGAACAAACTGCTTTGCAGCGGAGTCGCAGGTGGGCGGGGTCTCTGTCACGATTTCCGCGTGCACCAGATCAACATCAGCAGGTTCAAGGTGGACTTGAATTAGCATTAGGCTGATCAAATGTGTACTTACACACACTGCCTCATACACACACAGCTTCATCAGCAGACCCTAACCAGATGAAGCCCATAAATCCTGTGGCCAGCCAGGTCTGACGCAGACAGGTCAGCGCTTCTTGATGCTTCGGAGGGATGCTCGAGATAACACACATCCATCACCGGTAATAACACAGACAAGCCTGCTGGCCTGCTGCTGTGATGTGTGAGTATAACTGTGTACGTAAGGCTGACAAAACACAGGCCGTTATCTGTTTCTATTCACCGATCTGAACCTCAATAACCTCCCTTCAGCATGCAATATAGAATTGGGACGTTCCAATTGGATGGAAACATAGATATGCATTGATTCTGGAATGAAAAGCGTGCACGAGGTACCAGAAACTCAGGGCGGGGAACGGGGATATTGGATGTATTTATAGACGCCTGGCAAGCACCATCCATCCCGCATAACAGAAAGGGCCGCTAAAAGAAAAAGAGGGGGGGAGTCTGGCAAGTAAGTAGGTCAATAAAAGATCGTACAGTGAGACTCGTCGGCGCAGACTACAGCAAAGACAAAAATAGGAGTACCCTGGCTAACATCTAGACAACATGTAATCTTTTCAGGAGTGGAAAAAAAGTAAAGCAAACAAACTGAGTTGATCCTGTGGTATTGGACGGCTGTGCAAGACAAACAGACCCAAAATGATACATTGGAAAGCTAGTTGCGTAAGTGACGTGCAATAATTCCAGGTAGAGGGAGGGACGTGAGCAACATGGTGTCGTGTAAATGCTTTGTTAGCCATTGATGTGGAGAGGAGAGGATTACAGCACTTGTGCTGAGCTGCTTGCGTCAATGGATCAGGACGGGGGATAATTCACGTCCCTTCTCGTACTCTCTTTCACACGACACTCTTGTTTTTTCAAATCAACAATACGTATCAATCTTCACTTTTCGATCCGGGAACCACATACCCGCATGTTTCATACATTTGAATAGGCAGCTGATAACGGCTTCACTTCACACAAGCAACAATGGAGATCAATCGAAATGTTGAATAAACCCTGCTACCTGCTGGTCCGGTGCCCAGCCGTTTAATTAAGGCTTTATTAGGCTTTATTAACAGCACACAAAGAGACAGAGCACAATGCAGCTCTCTTCATCTGAAGAGCATGATTCTTTGTAAGATCTGGAGTGAACAAGCTAATTAACCTGGTTTCTCCAGGATCAGCCTCTTGAGAATCAGACATAATGTGTGTGTGGGTGTGTGTGGGTGTGTTTTCTTTCTCCCTTTTGTACTTGTACGTATGCTATCTTTTCTGTATCCCCCTGTCCGGGTAGTAGAGGGTGAAATGGGCGAGACGTGTTACTGCTTCATTTTTCACACTTCATTAACACTTTGCCGTGACTACAGACACGACCCCGGACAGCGTGCAACGAGAAGAAGAAGTGGTGAAAAGCAGTGAAAACAGCGATCGATTCCTGCATGCTCCAACATGAACACCAAGAGGGATCATTTAAGATGCTTGTTATTTGGTATTCTCTCAGAAATTCAAGATGCAGGAGGGGGGGATGGTGGGGAAGCAGGGGTGCATGGAATTATAATCCACCAAAACAAAAGCTGCCTCTCTATCCGTCTGTGTTGCTCCAGTGCAATCCCTTTCATCTTCTTGTTTTCAACACATCAAACATTCGACGGTTGCTGTACACACTAAAATCCTGTGTATACAGTAACCTTATCACCGAAACATGAAATATTCTGAGGGACGATGCTTCCTGGACAGGACACAGGAATTAGCTATCAAAACTTACAAATGTATCCCATTATAAAGTCCAGAAAGGTCAAACACTGCTTACCCTTCAGGCTAGCAGTACTCTGGAAGACTCACCTACACTACATGTATCACCGTGACGCCTCAAATGAACTGGAAGCCAGTTGAGGAAAAAGGATATTTTTTGTAATCGTCTTACAGTAGCAACGCCATGGGTATTCTTTAATAAATTCTCATTAAATTTTCATGGAGCTGCAGACTTAATAAGAAGCTAATCAGGGGATGAAAGCAGCTGCTGAATAAGGAGTGTGACTCGCCCCAACTTCACAGCTTGCCATTAAGCGCCCGCCACCCCCACACCAGCCCCCATACACACACACGTAGACATTATCTTTCTTGCGCTCTACGTGGCGAGGCGGGGTTCTGCGTTTTGAGTGTTTCGTATTGAATAATGTATAGGACCTGGGGGTATGGTGGGCTAAGTCTTTTTTATGCCGGGGTCCTAAAGTGTGGCCCCAGGCCGTTTGCATTGGCACAGGCAACCATAGTCGGTGCTGCTCTCTCATCAGCAGCTGCAATAAAGGCTGTAAGCTGTGTGTTACAGGACTGCATCAGTATTCAGCGGGGCTAGAGGGGTCACATCACACACAAGCTTGTACTCGCATCAGACAGAGGCAAAGCAGAAAGAGAGAAAAATAGGAGACAGAGGGGGCAGGGGAGAGAAGGTGGAAGGGATTACATGTCCTACCAATAGATCTTTAGGTCATTGTTCCGGTAGCTAAATTGTAAAGGACCAGAAATCAATACCAAGGCAGACATTAGGTTAGGTCCTGCCTCACAGCAAGGAAGCTATTTAAATGTTCACACCCTGGGTGGTGTTGGGCTATTTGACAATTTCCTCCATTATAGGAACATCCAAGGTGCATATTATGAAAATTAACTCAGAACCATGTTGTAGGAGCGTCACAGTCCATTGACTCCACACACAGTGATATACACAGCTGCAGTGAGACATGCCATCCATTCTATCACCATTAGCAATGTGTCATCTGCAAGCGAACGGTGAATGCAAATCAGACAGTAATGTCATTTGTAATCTTTCACCTAGACAACAACGATGTCTTAGGGAACTTTGCAATGTA